AGCTTTCTTCCTTATACTTCCATGACTTATCCATAATTCCTTTGTTCATGCACTCCTCTCATCATCCCAAGCAACATCATTCACAAGTGAATGACTTTGGGGGGGGAATAGTGTAAGGACAGGTCCGAGGTGCCAAGCCTCGGACTGCTACAGTAATTCCTTTATGACCGAAGTGAGAAATGAATCCAAAGCTCCCTGCTCAAATAGCTACATGACAATGACAATAAGCATGCCCGCACTTAATTCCTTATGACGAGTGGCACAATAAGTATGGTGGACATCTGTGCATTTGAATACCTCTCAAATTCCCGGTTCCGAAATAATCGTCTAGATAGACACGTCAGGCTCTGATTGTCCTGCTAAGCAAGCCACGTGGATACCTCACAAAGGCCTATAAATACCCCAGGGGCCACCTCAGAAAGGTAATTGAAACCGACCCTAAGCTCTTTTTATCTCCGCCCTAAAGGTAGCCCCGATTATTGCTGACTTAAGCATCGGAGTGTCTACCCCGAGTTCCACCTCGGGGCTTTGCAGGTCATCTCGGAGTGGAAGTGCGGACTGAAGAAGGACTTCTGGTTTAGTGCAATTACACCCGGCCACCAAACACAGGACGCATGAAGGCATTATCAATCTTATGAATAGTAATGAACAGTGTGCGTTGGGGTTCTAAGAAGTTCTCGTGTTGAGCTTGGCCGATGAAGATCGTCTGCAAAAGAATCCTGTCTACTTCTAATGAATGGTACAGTATTGATTTAGGCGAGGATGGATCTGATATCATGCTGGTTTGCTTTGGACTAGGCAACAAGAACCTTATTAGAGGCTTGAGCATGTTTGGGTTAATTTCTTGAAACTTCAGTTTTTTAAATTTTAGTTTTTTAACATTATTTATGTTTTATAAGTTTAAATTTTTTTCTTGAAAACTTACATTTTTAATCTTTTTTTTAATATTAAAAATATCATAAACAATAAAAACTCAAAAGTTTTAAATTTTTACTTTTCAAAAACTTTTTTTTTACTTATTTTTTCTTATATCTAAAAACAACTTTAAAATTTTTCTTCTAATAAAAATTTAAACTTATCACTCATAAACAATATTAAAAAAGTAAAAGTTTTAAGAAGTTAAATCAAATAAACCACCTAAAAAGAATAAAAAGGATAAGAACTTCCTGTCATTGAGAAACTCAACACGCTACTCATGAAAGGTGTATTTCTTCCGTGTCAAATTATTTATCACTACAACTAACTTGCAGTATTTAACCATAGATAATATACTTTTATATATCATAAGAATGACAATTAAAATTCTTTTTACTTCAATACGTAGTTCTTTTTCAGTAGCTTCATTTGATCATAAAATAATTTCAATTACCATTCGAATGCTATATAAGTTTATTACTTAATGTTACATGTAAGTTAGTTATACTAGCAAATAATTTGGGACAAAGGGAGTAGTAGATAAGGCTAATGCAGAATCCAACAGAGTGCACATTGTTGATTTTTAGTTTCAATGAAACTATCTATGGAAAAAATATAAACATTGAATCCTCGTTTAAGACCACATTGATGTATCAAGGGGCTGAGAACTACTCTCTCCACTTGATACTGACAGGATGAAAAAGAATGATAAAAAAAGCCCCCAAAAAAGTAACACGACTAAACCAGTTCTATTTTTTCGATGAATAACTAAACCAGTTTTTAAACCTTTTGTAAATATATAACAAGAAGACTAAGTAAAAACGAAGAAATTGGAGTTAAAAGCAAAGTTATAAAGGCATCAAAATAGTAGAATACTAGCAATTTCTTAGAATCAAGGAGGGAGATATCTTACCATTGTGCTGCAAAGAACAACTGTTATGGTGCTCGTAATCATAATCGCATTCCCTCGCAATTGAGTATGCCCCAACATTGTAAACTGTATCAATATTGTTAAAAGTTTATCAAGCGCAACTGTCAGAAGTTTATCAGATGATATTAAATGCAAGCCACAAGTCCTACCATCTCTAATGTTAGGATATGTAACTCCAGGTTATTACTTGACTCTCCCTTGATTCCCTTCCCCTTCATTCCAGCATTAGTGTTCTTCAATTTTGATCACAAAATTAACATTTAATTTGCCTAATCATTAATAAACAACTTCTCTACAAAATAGCATCTACAACTATTGACACTTTTTTGTATTTAAAATGAAAGCTAAAGTGTGTTTGCTTCAAATGAAAGGTCATCCATATTTTACCTGACTGTATGCAAGTGCCATAGAGACAGCACCTCTCATAAGACCGGCCCACCAGATTAGTATCTAAACAACAAAATATAGAGAATAATGTGATTTGACACTTTTAATTGATTAGAAGGGAAGGGAAAAATGAAAAAAGAAAAACAACATAACAATGCACCAGAAAAAAGAACACATACTTGTTGTCTAAAGTCGATTCTGTCATTAGGAGATTTCTTAGCTAAATTTGATATAAAGGATAGAGGAAAGACGAATGTTGCCCTTCCAGCCAGAACCAGAGCAAGCAATAGTGTGCTTACAGCAACTGATGTTCTAGGACTGCAAAATGAGATTGAATATCATCTTACATAAGCAGATGATTTGTTAAATAGCACCTTTTGCATAGTTTGTATAAAAAACAAATAAAGAAAAAGAAATTAACTCAAAGTATAGTTAGCTGTGGTCCAAGAAAATAGTTTAATACATAATTCATAAAGGCTAGTTAGTTCTTCTGGAGGTTTATAGAAATACCTATCACTAACAAATCTCCATTTCTCAATGTCCAAAGCATCCATACCAACATAGAGAAAGATAAAAATCTCCGCAACAAATGATAAGGTTACAAAAGCATGCCTGTATGAACAAAAGAATGATATCCATTAGGCACATGAGGAGTTAAGAAATTTTCTTTTTTGATATCAAGTGACCAATTACTTTCAATGGCATGAATATAATAGTTATGAAGAAGGAATGCTTGGTAGTTGTTCTTGAACTCTCAGTCACATTGTGCCAGGTGTAATGGGACATCACAATTCCACAGAAAAATAC